AGAGGGAAATGTATGGTGCACAGGGAGGGTGACGGGTGTGGCGAGGGGACAATTACTGGAACAGATCCCCTGTATGGCTCTCTCTGCAGCAGCTGAAATCCGGCTTCTTCTCCTCTCCCTCCTGCTGGCTTTCAGCTGCTGCAGAGAGAGAGCCATTCCAGGTGAAATATGGGGGTTGGGGGGTCTTAGGTATTTCTCTTATAGCAGGTTTCCTTTAGGGCTCTTTCACAAGGGGGCAGTGCTGAGTGTATTGATCGCTTATCAGAGGGTGGTATGGCAGCTGATGCCTCCCAAATGTCTGATTATCGTTGGGGGAAGCTGAAAGCCGGCTGAAAACGGGCTTCTTCTTCTCCTCTCCCTCCCGCTGATTTTTCAGCTGCTGCAGAGAGAGAGCCATACAGGGGTTCGGTTCCAGTAATTGCCCACCAGCCGTGCCGATCACCCTCCCTGCCCACATCCAACTCACCCAGCTGCCTAGGCCCCCCTGCTGGCCTGGGCCCCGTACAGGAGGACTGGTGGTACCCCCTCATCCACGGCCCTGCCCACAGTACAGAATAAATAACAGATCCATATGTTTTTTTATGCTCACAGGTTTTCTATCCACCCCCAAATAAAAGAACCAATAAAAAAGACCCCTCCTCTACATGCCGGTAGTATAGGTTTCACAAAATGACCCGTACTTGTACATGGATACACAGGTCCACTTTCTGCACCTATGATGATGGCATAGACATAGTTCCAGCATTTGAGGCTCCTTGCTGATATTTTTTGTGAAATTTCACCCAATGCAAGAAGGCGAAAGAATCAGATTCATAGATAGTTTCAATGACATATTGTGTTTTTTCATTTCTGCACGGACTAAGCGCCCCCCTCCTCCAATGAGAACTGTGCCAGCATTGCCTACTGCCAGTGAAGCGGGATGGGGAAGGGGGGGACAAATTTTGGAAAGGGTCTGCACTTGTCTGCAGTGATTTTTAGTTTGTTACCTGGGCACCCGTTGCCAATTTTTGCGCTTGCTCAGCATGCAATTTAAAAGGTAACTATAGTTAATATTACAATGTTATTTTCTGATGGAACGTTCACATTGTTCACATGCTTGGTGTATCACCCTTTACTGTATTATGGTCTATAGATGCTCCCATTTAATGGCATATAGAATATGGCTGTTCCCATGTACATAGATAGTATTACACTACAAGGTTTTTACATTAACACACATGAATATTTACATTTGATCAGTTTCACCCGTGTAGTTAAAAAAAAAACATTAAACAGACTAAAGTTTCCTTCAAGTGCAATTCTCAGATGCGCCTGTTTGCTTGTAGAATATTTAAAAGAGGTTTTAATTGTGTTTTTTTCTCATGCATTTTAAAAATCGCATGTGGTACTGCGGTCAGACTGCAGCATGCTGTTTTGAATAAACACCCTGCACCGGTGCATAGTAGTGTTCTGCAGTTGTGGAGGTGCAGGCCTTTAAGGGTCAGTCAATGCAAAAGTGATATTTTTGTTGTAGGTGGTTGGTGCCAACATCTGACTACTTATGTCTTGGTTCAATGGTGGTAAATTTATGAGGTATTGGGGGGGGGGGGGCTCAGCTGTGGCTAATGACATCACCAAGGGCCCATACATAATATTTAGTATATAATGCTACAGAGGAATGTCAGAGGCTGTGGACACCCTTCAAGAGACGGTCAAAGACTGTGGATGTATTACAGGAGTGGTTGGAGACTAGAGACCTGCTGCAGGATAGAGACAGCTGAGGACATTTTACTCAAGACTGCTAGAGGTCGCTATCTTTATAGCCCTTTTCACTCTCAATACTGGCTGCTGGGTTCTGAGGGCCACTCAAGTACTAAATGGTAGGTTGGCCAGTATGGTTTGGATACTTCAAGCTCCCTGTTGTAATTCCTGGTATGGTCTTGGATACTTCAACCTCCCCGTCGTAATTCCTGGTATGGTCTTGGATACTTCAACCTCCCCGTCGTAATTCCTGGTATGGTCTTGGATACTTCAAGCTCCCTGTCGTAATTCCTGGTATGGTCTTGGATACTTCAACCTCCATGGACACTTCAACCTCCCTGTCGTAATGCCTGGTATGGTCATGGACACTTCAACCTCCCTGTCGTAATTTCTGGTATGGTCTAGGATACTTCAACCTCCCCTCCCTGTTGTAATAATTCTGGTATGGTCTTAGATACTTCAACCTCCCTGTTGTAATTCCTGGTATGGTCTTGGATACTTCAACCCCCCTTTCGTAATTCCTGGTATGGTCTTAGATACTTCAACCTCCCTGTTGTAATTCCTGGTATGGTCTTGGATACTTCAACCTCCCTGTCGTACTTCCTGGTATGGTCTTGGATACTTCAACCTCCCTGTCGTAATTCCTGGTATGGTCTTGGATACTTTCAACCTCCCCGTCGTAATTCCTGGTATGGTCTTGGATACTTCAACCTCCCCGTCGTAATTCCTGGTATGGTCTTGGATACTTCAACCTCCCCGTCGTAATTCCTGGTATGGTCTTGGATACTTCAACCCTCCCGTCGTAATTCCTGGTATGGTCTTGGATACTTCAACCTCCCCGTCGTAATTCCTGGTATGGTCTTGGATACTTCAACCTCCCGTCGTAATTCCTGGTATGGTCTTGGATACTTCAACCTCCCCGTCGTAATTCCTGGTATGGTCTTGGATACTTCTACCTCCCCGTCGTAATTCCTGGTATGGTCTTGGATACTTCAACCTCCCCGTCGTAATTCCTGGTATGGTCTTGGATACTTCAACCTCCCCGTCGTAATTCCTGGTATAGTCTTGGATACTTCAACCTCCCCGTCGTACTTCCTGGTATAGTCTTGGATACTTCAACCTCCCTGTCGTAATGCCTGGTATGGTCATGGATACTTCAGCCTCCCTTTCGTAATTCCTGGTATGGTCTAGGATACTTCAACCTCCCTGTTGTAATTCCTGGTATGGTCTTAGATACTTCAGCCTCCCTGTTGTAATTCCTGGTATGGTCTTGGATACTTCAACCTCCCCGTCGTAATTCCTGGTATGGTCTTGGATACTTCTACCTCCCTATCGTAATTCCTGGTATGGTCTTAGATACATCAACCTCCCTGTCGTAATTCTTGGTATGGACTTGGATACTTCAACCTCCCTGTCGTAATTCTTGGTATGGACTTGGATACTTCAACCTCCCTGTTGTAATTCCTGATTCAGTTGTTCTGGACACTTTGGGTGTTCCCACTCACTTTTGCAAATTCCGACCCTACCTGTTACATTCTCCAGAATATAAATTAAATGAAGATACCCAGCAGGAATGGTGGGAGCCCTTAATAATGACCACATCAGGTGTGCAGGCCCAGGATCTCCCTAGTCCTTGAGATATAATAAACTGTCAGAGGGTTTAATTCTTTAGTATCTACCAAACTCTGAAATATCAGTTTTGGGTAGACTGACCCTTAAACCAGGGCTTTGAGCTAGCATATAAAAGCCCTGCACCTACTATTTTAATTTGGTAGCAAGCAAACTTTGTAAACTCAATAAACATAATAGTTAGAATGCTGTGCAGAGTTTTATCTTGGCTGCAAAGTGCATGGGAAAAACATAAGGAGTACTATATGTGGCCAAACATTTGTGGACGAAAGTGTTTGAGTTCTAGTGTTTCCATTGAATGGTACTGCTAGTAGCAGTTACTCATATTCAACTGTACTTGTTCTGTAATGTTGAAGATGTTTTGCAACTTTTTCAGGAATTCTACATAAGTGTATACCCTTTGATTCATGTGGCCAAAGGCGTGAATTGGAGACTCATTGGATTAACACCTATGCAGTTCAAGGTGGTATCACAACCTTCACACCTCTCATTCTGCTCTTGGACAATCAACATCTGCCTTGATACTTTTTAATGATGATTGGATTGAGGTGTTGGTGCTCCATGTGTAGATATAAATGCTGGGGTATTTTCCTGACACTCGTTAGAACTGAAAAAGTGGCTTGGCTAAGCTATGAAACGTCTTCAACATTATAGACAAAGTCCACTTGAATGTGAATAACTACTACTAGACATACCATGACCTGGATAAATGAGAACCTTCACATTGAAGAGTATTGTTAATGGTATATAGCACACAAAGACATAACAGACAATTGTGCGCTTCCGACCAGTTTGAAGAAGGTCTTTTTCTGTTCCAGTATGACTGTGCCCTTGTACGCAAAGTCAGCTCCATAAAGACATGATTTGATTTGAAGGAAATTGAGTGACCTGACGTCAATACTACTGAACACCTTTGGGCTGGACTGGTATGCCAATTGTGAGCTAGGTCTTCTCACCTGACGAAACAAATTCTCTTTTGGCTGAACGGGCACAAATTCACACAGACATACTCCAAACTCTTATGAAAACCCTTCCCAGTACAGTGGAGGCTATTATAGCCACCCATGGAGGGGAGGGGGTAAACTCCTTATTAGTGGTCATGGTTTTGGAATGGGATGTCCAACAAGCTCATATAGATATGATGATCAGATGCCCACAAACATTGGCCCATATATAGTATATTACATTCTGCTTTTAAAGATGGTTATTTCACTGCTCCACCTTATACCATGAAATTTACCAAAGAGTAGAGTAATGCTGTAAAAAAAAAATCCAAAAGTTGGGTAATAAAACAATGATTTTGGAATTGTACTTCCTCATTATTGTCTTTCCCTTTCCTATCCTGACATGGTATCTTAAAAGCTTTCATGGCAGATGCTGGTACATACAGTGTGTGCTATGTTGTCTTATGTGCTTTGTCGATTTGTAGCTGTCCAACCAGTGCTGATGGCGATGCATTATTTTCTGTTTGGCTTTTCTATTATCTTTAACACTGATGCAAGTCTTAGATAGCAGTGCTGGCGAGAGCCAGACCACCTGGAGGCCTTATCCTATGAAGTTTGCTCAAATCAATTATTGCATAATTTCAGTTCCACAAGCGGCATATTCGTGGCATGTGCAAAGATGGACTCCTAGCTGCACATGCCCGTGTGTACGCGTAAAATGCCCTTACTGTGCATATGAATGAAGTTGAAGATCTCCGAAGGCATGGCATGGAAGCCTGGTCGAGGCTTCACGTTGTCATAGTAGTGGTGGGTAATAAAGATCCCCGAGGGATTCATGGGGAAACCCCAAAATCCATAGAGGTGGACCTCATCACACAGCTCCAGAGCAGCTGTCACCAGGATCAGTCCGCTGCTGATGCGTTTCGCACGCACACCTTGGATAAGCCAGAAACGGGAGACGTTGATGAGATACTGGGGATGGAAATAGTAGACAGACTGCTGGGTCTCAAAGTCATCCAAGACGTACTTGACTCGAATGGACACATCTGTGTTGCGGGTGTTGTAGAAGGCAGGGAGGAGGATAGAGGCGTTCTCATAACCCTGTAGCACGTCATAGAAAGGTTTTCGCCATTTCTCCAGCTTCTGGAACCTGGAATCCAAGGAACAGTCATCAGTATCCAGCCTTTATTAGTTTTATAGGGACGCTGATATTTTTGCCATTCATAACAATGACAGTGTCTACTGATAGCCTACCCATAATAAGTTATACTCACCAATCCAAGCTCCTTTTTTGGGTCTTCTGGGTATAAAGGAGCATGTGACCTCTCCCATGTGACGCTGGTCATGCCAAATGCTACACCTTGACATGGCATCATGGCGACCATAAATCTTACCCAGGGTGGACTCCTCCAGCAGAGAGGCAACGAAAGAGCATGGATAGGTGAATATACCTTGCCAGAGGAGATTAGACAAGCCAAATCTTTTTTTTCCTTACTTTGACAGTGGTTACACCCCTTTCATGTAGTCTGTATCCTTGGGATTTTTACCCTCTCTATTTGTCCTGGTGACTGTTGTCATTGGAACAGACAGTGATGAGAAATCCAATATTTTACCAACAGCTCAAAACCTGTCCCTTTAGGACTTAACCCCCTAAATTTAAAACTTAGCCCAACTGATCAACTTATAATGGTTGTAAACCCTGACATATACCCAATGAAGTCACCTCAGGTCATACACAGAGATGAAACAAAACCTCTACATAAGTTGTACCTGTTTATCTGCAGCCTCTCCTCTCTACAGCTGTTCAAAGTGCAGAGTTTATACAGCTTGTCTGAGGTTTCAAAACGCAGGGGGTGGGGATCTGAACTTACGCTCTACAGAGTGGTGGGAAGGGACACACCTCCCTCACACAGCACACAGGAACAAAGCTGAGGCTGTCAATCACTGAGGAGCTCCCTCCCCTGTCACCTTTTGTTAGGAAAACTTGTCAGAAGTGCATATAGCAGAGAAAGGAGGCAGCAGACAGAAATTACACTTAGTGCTCTGGATTGAGACAAATAAAAACAAAAATGTAACTTGCGAGCCACTCACTGCTATTACAGGATCGCAAACATACAACATATCCTCTTTAAATGTGCAAATAATTCAAAAACATAAAAACAACATGTTGCGCTCCTTCTTTGAATATTAAATCAATACATATTTCCAATAAATGTATAAAAAAATCAATATTAATAAACTTGTGAAAAACAGAAAATCATGTGAAATCAAAATGTTATCCCGTGCTCATCATAAAAAAAAAATAAATATAATATAAAAAATATATAAAAATGAATCAGTCTTCAATGAAAAAAATATATGTGACTTTTCCCAGTGATTCAAATCAAATGAATAATTCCAGATGACTTCCTTAGTGAGTATAAGATGTGCGCCCACCTCCAGATTAGCCTGTAACAGGCTAATAACGCTTTTTGTCCACTCAATGGGACTGATGTTTGTTGCACCAAATGAAGAGTGGTGGGTCCCTCTCAGGCTGCTTCCCGTCTCCTACTCCTGCTGGGATCTTACTCCTATACTGCTTATCTGAAGGTGAGCGCACATCTTATACTCATTAAGGAAGTCACCTGGAATTATTGATTTGATTCACTGGGAAAAGTCACATATATTTTTTTCATTGATGACTGATTAATTTTTATATATTTTTTATATTATATAGTTTTCTGTATGATGAGCACGGGGTGACATTTTGATTTCACATGATTTTCTGTTTTTCACAAGTTTATTAATATTGATTTTTTTATATATTTATTGGAAATATGTATTGATTTAATATTCAAAGAAGGAGCGCAACATATTGTTTTTATGTTTCTGGATTGAGACAAGCACACACTATAGAGGGATCTGCTTTGTTCATATTTCATAACAGAGGTTTATAAACTTGTACCTGTAGCGAGAAACATTACTCTGTGATGCCATTATCTTGCTTGTAAAATTTTTGCTGGGGCAGCTGCTAGGAGGTTAGTTCATATTGATGCAGACATGTCCCCAGAACTACATCCCCCAACAGTCCTTTCCCTACACACAGGTGGTCTGATTTACTAAAGGAAAGAATTTTCACTCAATACATTTGAAATAAATAAACAGGGATTTGCTTTTCATGTACTGGTCTACCGATCGACTTCTGTACAACCAGCCTGTCCAGTGGCGGACTGACCATTTGGAAACTTGGGCACTGCCCGAGGGCCCAGGGTCAGTAGGGGGCCCCATGAGATGCCCCTGGTACCTTTTTCAAAGGCTTTTTTGAGTTTGGGCAAGGACGCAGGGGCCCCATGATACCCTATTGCCCGGGGGCCCCATGAGTTGTCAATCCGCCCCTGAGCCTGTCATTTTTTTCCCGAACGATCAGTGCCGCTGGCTATAGCCAGCAACACAGACCAATGTGTTCTGATGGCAGGGAGTCTTCCCCAGAACACAATAGCATAGCAGGAGTGATTCCCCCATCCATATCAAATGTGCCAATGTGTGGACGGGGGAATCAGGTCTTTTTTTTTTTTTCATTCCCCACCCAAAAGAAAAACCTTTTAAAAGGATAGTTTACCGTTGGGACGCACATAGCCCCCAGGTATGACAGCTGCGTTATTGAAGACTTTTAAAAGCTTCTAAGTTTATTGTTAACTACTGGGACTTGTGGAAGACATACAGGTGTATTGACCCTTTACATTTTTTAATGGTAATTCAGGTTTTTCTTGCTTGTTACATCATCGTTCTCCTTTAGTGAAATGGACTGTGCCTGGGAGTCATGGGGAGGATCTAGGCAGGCGGTTCACATCACATCCAATATGTTTCCTAGGGGGAAATAATGTGGTTTGCTTGCGGTGGACAGTGCTGTGCAATGTAGAGCAGCTATCTTCATAGCTGCCAATCAATGGCTGTAGGCGGGTTGCTGACCGGGTGCTGTGCAGCCGGTCCCACCAAAAAAAATTCATACATGACAGCGCACCACTGCTCTTCTTCTGTATACTACACAGGGAGGAGACAAAACCAGGAGCCATTCCTCCATAGGGAGCACAAAGTGGAAGCGGCCCTAATAATGAGGCACAAGGGACAACTTTGGGCAGGAAGAGGTATAAAACCAATGGATAGAAATGGAGATAGGCAAGCAAGTGGTTTTTGCTCATGTAGCGCTAACCTCTGAAAGGTCCACTGGAAATGCCCAGGTCTCCCTTACATGTTCAGAGGCTCCCAGACAGAGGTACCAGTTCCAAAGCACACCGACAAACACAGGCTCACTCTAGGGGTGCCTTTTTGTAGATTTATTGTTGTAATTGAACAGGAGAGAGGGATGCGGGTGCAAGATAAACCAAAAACACAAAAAACAGGTACAGCCAGGGCTGCTGATAGAAAACACGGGGCCCCATACAGCCAACCTGACAGGGCCCTACCCCCTTAAAAACAAACAAAAAAAAACACTGTTTACTATGCTTCAGTTATGAATGAACACAGTGAGTGATTAGTACTGATCACTCATTGTGTTCATTCAGGAAACAAAGGGGCTGGTAAATGTGACATATTTACCGGGCCCTTCCCCCACTCTCCATCCTTAAAGATCCTATTGTGTGCTCGCAGATGTTGGTGAAAAGGAGGAGGGAAGCTGGAGTAGCACTGTGGTGGTGGGGGCACACAGGGGAAACGTATGATGCAAAGGGAGGGTGATGGGTGTGGCAGGAGGCAATTACTGGAACTGATACCCTGTAGGGCTCTCTCTGCAGCAGCTGCCCGCGGGACAGAGAGGAGAAGAAGCCAGCTTTCAGTTGCTGCAGAGAGAGTCCTACAGGGGATCGGTTCCAGTAATAGCCCCCCACTGTGTCGATCACCCTCCCTGCCCACATCCAATTCACCCAGCTGCCTGGGCCCCCCTGCTGGCCTGGGCCCCGTACAGGAGGACTGGTGGTACCCCCTTATCCACGGCCCTGGGTACAGCCTTGAATGTTTCTGCAGGCAAAGGGGGGGCACATCTGGAGTCCTAGGTAAAGGGTCCTACTCACAATGTCCAAGGACAGCTGTCTCCAATCAGCTTCCCTGTGACACTCTTCAGTGAAAGGGGGGTTCTTCTCCAGCCCAGTTTCCTTAGGTAGTGTCCTCCAGCAAATGTATTTAAATCCAGGTTTCTCCAAGCCCCTCCAAGGCCAAGCACATGCTGAGGCTCAGCAGCAACAGCTCCTCAATAATACAGCTGCCTCCCAAGCCAGAGATCCAGGACAGAGAGAGCTCTGAACAAGCCTTCCCAAACACTTATCTCCTCCTCAGTCTACTTCTGGGCATCTCCTCCCAGGGATTGGCTAAAGTCAGTTCAATATTCATAGCCCAAAGATTGATCCTCTCACTCTATTTCTGGAAGCTTCTTCCAGAGGCAGACAGGAGCAATCAAAAACCAGGCATAGGGATAGACCTGACAAGACCTAGAAAGTGGATTGCAACTTAACAGGGTACAACAGAGTAAAAAATTTTGAATTATCTAGCCTAGGGCAGGGAGCTACACCAATAATATTGTGAGCTTCCTGGTTAGAGTCTTTAGGGATGGGGAAATCCAAATGGTGCCAAGGGAGAATAGATCAGGAGGAACATCTGGGTCAATCAGGTTGACCAAAGGGTTTCAAAAATGGCAAATATACCAATTATTTCCATCTATATCCATTTATAAATCTCCTACAACTACAGACCATAATTACAAGCATTATTTTTTCACCAATGAAACCTTATGAAGTTATTACCCACCATTGATGGTTTTATACATGGTTCCTTTGCCTGTTCAAGTTTCACATGCACAATGACGCAGCACGATTAGCACTGCTGCTTCACAGAACTGGGGTCCCAATTAAGACACTATATGCATGGAGTTTGCATCTTCTCCCTTTCTCATATGGGTTTCCGCCTACTCCCCAAAGATATTTTGGTAGGTTAATTGGCTCCATTCAAATGTGTTTGTGGCCCATTTGTGTAGTTAGTTTAAGCATAGCTGTGTTTCTCTGCTTAACAGCCTTCCAGAACATAGGTAGGGGTAGGGGGCTAGGCCACGGGTAGGCTGTTGTGGAACTACATTTCCCATGAGGCACTGCAACATTACAAAACTGACAGTTACAGCTATGACTTGCAGAGGCATGATGGAACTTGTAGTCCTGCAACAGCTGGAAAGCCACAGGTTGCCTACCCCTGGGCTAGGCAAAAGAATAACATGCTGGAAGTGGTATTTATGTTCTGTGAGCACATAGGTTCAATGTTTTTCCTGGGAGAGGATTGAACCAAACCAGTCTGGAGGCAGGCTTGCCTTGCCTGGTACCAGATGCCATGCAGGCCTCAGGTGGTCGACATGAGGGCCTGAAGTTAGAGAGAGTGACCCTGGTTCTACAGCATGCTGACTGAGGGTAGCTGTCTGCCAAAGCTCTGTCTGGTACCACTGGAGGGTTTCGCTGGAAAGAGGCAACCATTCTGTCCTTGGGCCTTATGAATACAGACCTTGAGGAATTTGGGGGCTCTCTGTGCTTGCTACCCCCCTGGTGCTTGATAGTCAGCTTATGTCTGAAAAGGAAAGGGAACACTGTCTAGTGTTCTAAAGAGCTTGTCCAATTGTTGCTACTGCAAAGGACTTTGCTCAGCTACGTTACCTTCAGGCTGACGCAGTCTGCTTAACTGGCTTACACCTGAGGAGCTCAGCCCTGTAACTACTACTACTGCAAAATGGGACTTTGCTCACTTATAAACCACTTGCTGCTACAAAATTTAAAGAGAAGTCTGCTATCTGCTTTCAGCCAGGACTTCAAAAGTGCTCAACTAAGAGATCATCTAGATGTCCTCAGTGTGAATAGTTCTAATTTTGGAGTATCCTACTGAATTCCCTATCCCTATCCCCAGTTCTACAATAAACTCCAAAAACAAACATCCCCTAGACTGAAGACAACGAGCAGAAGTGTGTGTGTACCTGGCTGTGCAAAATACCTAGTGCCTAGCTATGGGACGAAGAATGGGAGAAACCTGGGCAAAAATACAAGCAGCAAGAGGGTAGCGTTACACGTGTATGTATCCATGTGGGATAGGGACCTTAGATTGTAAGCTCCTTGAAGCCACGGATTGATGTGATGGCACAATATGTAAAAGCTCTACATAAATTGGCACAGCTATATAAATACCCATAGTAAATAAATGCATGAAAATTTCTGACCTTTCTGTTATAATGCTCGGGTTGATTGTCACCACATCTGTCTTCATCCCAACATCCGCCACATATTTTTCAGAGATGGGAGGTAAATTGCACCTTAAATCACAAAAATGAACACACAGGTCATTTTAGAATTTTGGATTATAGAAGGTTCTGCCAATTTCAAGTGTGAGGGACATTCAGTTTCACTACCGCCTGTGCAAGTAGGAAAGAGTTAATACTGTCAACTTTCATCAACTACTAAATGAATGTTGAAATGTTTACTAAATGGTTAGCACTTCCGCCTGGCAGTACTCTGGTCGTTGGTTCAAATCCCAGCCACGGCACCTCCTGCCTGGAGTTTGCATGTTCTCCCTGTGCCTGTGTGCAGTTTCCTCCGGGTACTTCAGTTTCCTCCCACATTCCAAAGACATGCTGGTAGGTGAATTGTCTCCTGTCTAAATTGTCCCTAGTATGTGTATATGTATGAATGTGAGTTAGGGACCTTAGATTGTACGCCCCTTGAGGGTTAGGCACTGATGTGAATGTACAATATATATGTAAAGTGCTGCGTAAATTGACGGCGCTATATAAGTACCTGAAATAAATAAATAAAATGTGTACCCAATGTGTAGCTCAGTGTTTCTCAACCTTTTTTCAGTCAAGGCACCCTTTAAAATTATGGACAGTCCCGAGGCACCCTTTAAAATTATGGACAGTCCCGAGGCACCCTTTAAAATTATGGACAGTCCCGAGGCACCCTTTAAAATTATGGACAGTCCCGAGGCACCCTTTAAAATTATAGGCAGTCCCGAGGCACCCTTTAAAATTATAGACAGTCCCGAGGCACCCTTTAAAATTATAGACAGTCCCGAGGCACCCTTTAAAATTATAGATAGTCCCGAGGCACCCTTTAAAATTATGGACAGTCCGGAGGCACCCTTTAAAATTATGGACAGTCCCGAGGCATCCCATTCTAAAATGTGAAAAACAATTCTAATAGTTTATATAATGCAGCAACATCCACACATGTAGGACACCCAACATTGGAGGTGAATTATTCTTCCAAAGCAAATACACTTTTGCACACTGGTACTGACTAGTATGCCAGTGTTTCTCTTCTCCCTCAGTTTTTTCTCATCACTGAGCTCATGTGACCCCAGCACTGATAGAAAGGGGCAGGGGAGGGTCAAACTAGGATGCTGTGCAGGCAGCTGACATCCTCCTTATCAACTGATGATGTCATTGGTTGTCAGGATGCCGGCGGATAGAAGGTCGTAATGGAGAGCAATGAAAACCTGTGGGCTTTGTGTAGCTAAAAGGAAGGCTTGATTCTCTTGCTGGTTTGTATACGAGTTTTTGGCAATTTTTAGAAATTTTGCCAGGGCCCCCCTGAAGAAACCTCAAGGCACCCCGGGGTGCCTGGGCACCCTGGTTGAGAAAGGCTGATGTGGATGCTCTAAGGCACTCGGTATTGTGATGCCTAAAGATACTCATTTTGTTGTCCAGTATAAAAATAAAAATCTACAATAAAAGGAGAATATAGTGTAATATCAGCAGCATATATTTTGAGTAACTATTTAGTTTTCTTCTAAAGTCCTTTCTATACATAGTTAGTCTGGTTGAAAAAAAAGACACAAGTTCATCCAGTTCAACCAATATACCTTACTGTATATACGACTTTCATGTTTTTCAAAAGCATGCTCTTACAAATTTATGTCACCAGGACAGTTGCTTTGTCTCTACAATTACACAGACCTCCCTGCTTAAAGCTGAGTTCCGGCCCCCGTCACCTCCCAAAAAAAGAAAATGAAGTCAGCAGCTACAAATACTGTGGCTGCTGACTTTTAATAGTAGGACACTTACCTGTCCAGCGGTTTCCTCACCCCAAGCTGATTCTTCAGTCTGCTGTCAGGTGCTGGCGCCACCATCTTGACTAAGGGAAACTCAATGGGAAAAAAATCTCCTGATGGGTATCTATACTGATATGAACGGGGTAATGTGTAACGTAAGGATGCCCCATCGGTTGATGGAAATGAAAGTGATCGAACTACAGAGGACTGAATTCAAAGACACCGCAAAAATCAAAGTGAAAAAAATGATGCAGAAGGCGAGTCCATTTTGCTGAAATGTCATTGCAGCAACTCAGAATGGTCCTCAGTAGTTTGTATGGCCCCCACGTGCTTGTATGCATGACTGACAACATTGGGGCATGCTCCTAATGAAATGACGGATGGTGCGCTCGGGGATTTCCTCCCAGACCTGGACCAGGGCATCACTGAGCTCCTGACAGTCTGAGCTGGATGGACTGAAACATGACATCCCAGAAATGTTGTATTGGATTTAGGTCAGGCGACCGTGGGGGCCATTCAATGGTATCAATTCCTTCATCCTCCAAAAACTGCCTGCATACTGTCGCTACATGAGGCTGGGTATTGTCGTGCACCAGGAGGAACCCAGGACCCACAGCATCAGCGTAGGGTCTGACAATGGGTCCAAGGATTTCATCCTGATACCTAATGGCAGTCAGGGTGCCATTGTCTAGCCTGTAGAGGTCTGTGCGTCCCTCCATGGATATACCTCCCCAGACCATCACTGACCCACCACCAAAACGGTCATGCTGAACAATGTTACAGGCAGCAGAACGTTCTCCGCGGCTTCTCCAGGACCCTTTTACGTCTGTCACATGTGCTCAGGGTGAACTTGCTCTCATCTGTGAAAAGCACAGGGCACCAGTGGTGGACCTGCCAATTCTGGTGTTCAATGACAAATGCCAATCAAGCTCTATGGTGCTGGGCAGTGAGCATTAGAAGAAGTCGAGCCTTCAGGCCACCCTCATGAAGTCATGAAGTTTCTGATTGTTTGGTCAGAGACATCCACACCACTGGCCTGCTGGAGGTCATTTTGTAGGGCTCTGGCAGCGCTCATCCTGTTGCTCCTTGCACAAAGTGGCAGATACCGGTCCTACTGATGGGTTAAGGACCTTCTACGGCCCTGTCCAGCTCTCCTAGAGTAACTGCCTGTCTCCTGGAATCTCCTCCATGCTCTTGAGACTGTGCTGGGAGGCACAGCAAGCCATCTGGCAATGGGATGTGTTGATGTGCCATCCTGGAGGAGTTTGACTGCCTGTGCAACCTCTGTAGGGTCCAGGTATCACCTCATGCTACCAGTAGTGACACTGACCCTAGCCAAATGCAAAACTAGTGAAAAACAGTCAGAAAAGATGAGTAGGGGAAAAATGTCAGTGGCCTCCTCCTGTAAAACCATTTTTGTTTTTGGGGTCGTCTCATTGTTGCCCATCTAGTGCACCTGTTGTTAATCAATTTAACACCAAATCAGCTGAAATTGATTAACAACCCCCTCTGCTACTTAACTGACCAGATCAATATCCCAGGAGTTTCACTGACTTGATGCTAGACTCTGAAAAACTGTTCCTTTAATTTTTTTTGAGCAGTGTATAAAAGACCATGAATATAATTCTTGATGCTTAGGATGTACACACCCCACACTGGACGCCAGTCAAAGATGGGAATGATTTGAATATAAATTACCTGTAGACAAAATCTGCACTGTCTATTTCTTTTCCACATTTGCTTTTTTTCAATATTCCTCCATTGCCCACCACAGCACACTTCTTAAATTGGGAGCGAGAATAAGGCATATCCTATGTAAAATAAGACACAACAAGCATCATGATAGACCCAACGGCACACGAGCCTGGAGTTCTTCCTTAATAGCTCAACGACAACATCACAGACAGTAAATATTACCGTGTGCAGTCTGACACTGCGGACATTCTAAGATACCTTGGGGAAGATATTGAAGATTTCAGGGCTGATCTGGAAATATACCGCTGGTGTCAACTTCATATCGCAGTTTTGTCCCAAGTGGCGTGTTCTTCTGGGTGGTGAAAAGGATAGAAGGCGCATTGCAACATCTGGAGAGTGCATTTCTAGTGCAAAACACAAAACAGCACATGTTACATCTCTGCAGGAAAAATCCTAAATGTCTTAAGAAATGTTTTAATAAATATATACTTCCATCCTGTGCGCAGCAACAAGATGGCGCTTTCGTTGGCTTTTGGAAAAAGCCCTCGGTGCTCATGCCCCTGGAGCGGCAGTCAAGGGGTTCCTGAATAACTGGCTTTGGGGTAACCCATCATGTTTTTAGTGTGGCACCATGGTCTCGGCAGTTTCAGCAAACTTTTTTTCCACACTTATCTTCGGGGCTGAGCCTTTTGGCTAAGGCTGGAGGCCCCAAAGGGCCAGCCATTGTCCTGCACTTTGACCCCCCCCCCCCCCCAAAAGCACTTCTTTGCAAAAGATGTATGCACTTTACTCACCTCTGATTAATAGGGTGTATGTCCTGAACATCTAGTGGGGGAAGGCATGTGGACTTATGGTCAGGTTCTTCCTCCTGCAAAGGTGTCTTCCTGCAGGGAAGCCCCACCTAGTCTTTGGGTAGACCTTGCCTCAGCAGGTCGCCTGATGAATAGGGGGTCCACCTCGTTTCACCCTGGTGGATCATGAGTATCCCAGTCCCCTTCAGGAGTCTGTCACCAAAGTTCTTGCTATTCAACGGAGGACCATGTGTACACCCAGTGCATTTTTTTGTGTACTTCACTTTATACCCACATGAAAGAAAAATATATTTGAAATATATTTTAAGAATATTCTTCCCAAATATATTGACAAACTACAAATTTCTCCATATTCAATTCAATATATATATATATATATATATATATATATCCATTTTTTTGTATCTGACCCTTGGAAATTGCATGGAACATCACTTGTAAGTGACTTTTTTACATGAATTCTCTTAGCAATTATTTTACAGGGTAGGTTGCCAGGTCTTTCCTCAACCCCTACCATGCAGGAGATCCCACATGGCCAGGGATGAAACTAGGACAACTTAGACACGAGCCAATTAACATACCAGCATGTTGTTGGAGTGTGGGAGGAAACTCACGTGAACACAGGGAGAACATGCAAACTCCATGCAGGAGGCGCCATGGTTGGGAATCGAACCCATGACCCAATTACTGCAAGGCAGAAGTGCTAACCACTAAGATATATATATATATATATATATATATATATATATATATAATATATATATATATGCGATCTTTGAAAACTCACTTATTCAGGGAAGCCTGCCCCACCTCCACCTAAGAACTGTACTTGAATCACCTCCGCCAGATCATCCCCCGCAGTTATCACCTTTTGTATCACCTCCCCCTTCCTTTAGATTGTAAACTCCACGAGCCGGGCCCTCCTATTCCTTCTGTACTGAAAGTATTGTAATTGTACTGTCTCCCTTATATTGTAAAGCGCTGAGCAAACTGTTGGCGCCATATAAATCCTGTATAATAATAATATATATATATATATATATATATATATATATATATATATATATAAACAATATTTTTTAAAATACTGCATGTTTTTAAAAATACAAATCTACATTTCTGGAATGCATTTACAAATCTATGTTACAATGACTTTTTGATATGTTACAAAAAATCTGAAGAATATATTTTAAAAATATATATATTTTTTTTAAATATATTCTTATTTTTTTACATTTTTGAGCATTTGTTAGCCTTTAAGTAAAACAAAGCATTTTTTTTTTTTCTGTGAAAAGAGTTTACAAAATAAAAACTTTATCTGCCCTTAAAAGTTTATGTATAAAAATAATTTAGGTAGGTAAATCAGTTATTGTTAAGCTATGAAAAAATGTGGCCTCCACATCTAGGTATCAATGACTTCGGGGCACAAATGGGTTAATAAAGGATCAAGTCACATTTGTGTCAACACAAATTAGTTTGATGAAATTATTTTCAAAGGCTGGCAGTCACAATAATTGGTTACAGTATATGTGACCCTGACCCAATAAGCAGTAGTGTCATGCAGAGATTCCAGGTTTGTTTTTAGATTTTTTTTTTAAATGTGATTTTTAACTTTTAGCAATAGGATGTCCATCAAGGTCACAAAGATGGGATGGTCAGATGCCCACACACACCTTTTGACCATATTTTTCCTTACCCAGGGAGGTCCACACGGATACTTTCCAATGCTGATGGTGGTACACATGTGGCACTTTTGACCGTCCCACAGACAAGCGAATGGCCAGACTCCACTCAAACTGAGATTTTTAATTTCCCCCACGATGGCTGGAGCATACCGGACTTACTTGAAATTGTTGGCTTCGGTCACATTCATCTCCCACTTGCAGATCTGAAGGCTCTTCCATCTTTCAAAGAGCTCTGTCTCTTTCACCCTGCGGTAAAGAGAAAATCCACACATGTCAGAATAGCAATCAGGTTCTTACTTACATACAATCTGACAAAAGCCCCAGTGTGGCGTGCCACTGAAGGCAGGGCCCTCTTAGTAGCATCATGGGCCCCTGGGCAAAGTAATGCAGTGGGGCTCCTACCAGCCTGCCCCAATTTCCACACCGACTCTCAAGAGAGAGATATCATTCCCCCGCTACAAATCATTAGTAACACCTCATCTGCAATATGCAGTTCAGTTTTGGGCACCAATTCACCAAAAGAACATTGGGGAACTGGAGGAAGTACAGAGAAGGGCAACCAAACTGATACGAGGCATGGAGGAGATCAGCTATGAGGAAAGATTAGAGGAACTGAATTTATTCTTACTTGAGAAGAGGAGATTAAGGGGGGATATGATCTGCATGTATAATACATAAGGAGGGGATATGATCTCCATGTATAATACATAAGGGGGGATATGATCTCCATGTATAATACATAAGGGGGGATATGATCTCCATGTATAATACATAAGGGGGGATATGATCTCCATGTATAATACATAAGGGGGGATATGATCTCCATGTATAATACATAAGGGGGGATATGATCACCATGTATAATACATAAGGAGGATATGATCTCCATGTATAATACATAAGGGGGGATATGATCTCCATGTATAATACATAAGGGGGGATATGATCTCCATGTATAATACATAAGGGGGGATATGATCACCATGTATAATACATAAGGAGGATATGATCTCCATGTATAATACATAAGGGGGATATGATCACCATATATAATACATAAGGAGGGGATATGATCTCCATGTATAATACATAAGGGGGGATATGATCACCATATATAATACATAAGGAGGGGATATGATCTCCATGTATAATACATAAGGGGGGGATATGATCTCCATGTATAATACATAAGGGATGGATATGATCTCCATGTATAATACATAAGGGGGGATATGATCTCCATGTATAATACATAAGGGGGGATATGATCACCATATATAATACATAAGGGGGATATGATCTCCATGTATAATACATAAGGGGGATATGATCTCCACGTATAATACATAAGGGGGGATATGATCTCCACGTATAATACATAAGGGGGGATATGATCTCCACGTATAATACATAAGGGGGGATATGATCTCCACGTATAATACATAAGGGGGGATATGATCTCCACGTATAATACATAAGGGGGGATATGATCTCCATGTATAATACATAAGGGGGGATATGATCTCCATGTATAATACATAAGGGGGGATATGATCTCAATGTATAATACATAAGGGGGGATATGATCTCCATGTACAATACATAAGGGGGGATATGATCTCCATGTATAATACATAAGGGGGATATGATCACCATATATAATACATAAGGTAGGGATATGATCTCCACGTATAATACATAAGGGGGGGATATGATCTCCACGTATAATACATAAGGGGGGATATGATCTCCACGTATAATACATAAGGGGGGATATGATCTCCATGTATAATACATAAGGGGGGGATATGATCTCCATGTATAATACATAAGGGGGGATATGATCTCCATGTATAATACATAAGGGGGGGATATGATCTCCATGTATAAAAACATAAGGGGGATATGATCTCAATGTACAATACATAAGGGGGGATTTGATCTCCATGTACAATACATAAGGGGGGATATGATCTCCATGTATAATACATAAGGGGGATATGATCTCCATGTATAATACATAAGGGGGGATATGATCTCCATGTATAATACATAAGGGGGGATATGATCTCCATGTATAATACATAAGGGGGGATATGATCTCCACGTATAATACATAAGGGGGGATATGATCTCCATGTATAATACATAAGGGGGGGATATGATCTCCATGTATAAAACATAAGGGGGATATGATCTCAATGTATAATACATAAGGGGGGATTTGATCTCCATGTACAATACATAAGGGGGGATATGATCTCCATGTATAATACATAAGGGGGATATGATCTCCATGTATAATACATAAGGGGGGATATGATCTCCATGTATAATACATAAGGGGGGATATGATCTCCATGTATAATACATAAGGGGGAATATGATCTCCATGTATAATACATGAGGGGGGATATGATCTCCATGTATAATACATAAGGGGGGATATGATCTCCATGTATAATACATAAGGGGGGATATGATCACATAAGGGGGGATATGATCTCCATGTATAATACATAAGGGGGGATATGATCTCCATGTATAATACATAAGGGGGGAAATGATCTCCATGTATAATACATAAGGGGGGATATGATCTCCATGTATAATACATAAGGGGGATATGATCTCCATGTATAATACATAAGGGGGGATATGATCTCCATGTATAATACATAAGGGAGGATATGATCTCCATGTATAATATATAAGGGGGATATGATCTCCATGTATAATACATAAGGGGGGGATATGATCACCATGTATAATACATAAGGGGGATATGATCTCCATGTATAATACATAAGGGAGGATATGATCTCCATGTATAATATATAAGGGGGATATGATCTCCATGTATAATACATAAGGGGGGGATATGATCACCATGTATAATACATAAGAGGGGATATGATCTCCATGTATAATACATAGGGGGGGTATGATCTCCATGTATAATACATAAGGGGGGATATGATCTCCATGTATAATACATAAGGGGGGATATGATCTCCATGTATAATACATAAGGGGGGATATGATCTCCATGTATAATACATAAGGGGGGATATGATCTCCATGTATAATACATAAGGGGGGATATGATCTCCATGTATAATACATAAGGAGGGATATGATCACCATGTATAATACATAAGGGGGGATATGATCTCCCCGTATAATACATAAGGGGGGATATGATCACCATGTATAATACATAAGGGGGGGGGTATGATCTCCATGTATAATACATAAGGGGGGATATGATCTCCATGTATAATACATAAGGGGGGATATGATCTCCATGTATAATACATCATACAGTGAACTCAGTGTAGAGTTATTCACCCTAATGTCATCACAGAGGACAAGGGGGCACTGTTCCTGATCCCCCAAGAGAGGTAAAGAGTGCCCCCTTGTGACATCACTGGACCAGCCAGAAAATAACTGGAAATAAGTTATGTATGTAAGGATTAAAGAAAAAAAATAGGTGCAGGGGCGGGGTTTAGGAAAGAATGCTGAAGGACTGGGATGGGATCATTTCTGGAATTAAAAAGTGTTGTATTTTAGACACTAATGAGTGAAACACATATCTCTAGCCATCATGTTAGTTTTGAAGGGACACCCCACCTAAAGTTGGTCCCTCAATTTTTCCCAGAGAGCTGGACTTTGGTAGAGAGATCTCCCAGGTGGTGCACCTACCTTGGTAAGGTGCCCCACTCTGCCGCCACACTCTAAGGTGGGCGGGAACACCAAAATGTCACACTAGACAACCTCAGAACCAGAAGAAGAGGGAGGGATTTCACCACTGAGAGCTCCAAGGTTCAACAGAAGCCAGTGGCTGACTCATCCAACTAAGGTATGTATATCACTTCTGCATGGATTGTCCCTTTAAGAAGCTCCCAAAGGGTGTTTTTTTTTTTTTTTTTTTTTTTACATGGTCCTGCATAATCCCTCTAAGAGCAGTCTCGTTTCAAAAGCAGGATGTTAAAAATAGGGGCAATTCTTTATTTAATTATACATTGTTGAGCTTTCAAAAGGAACAGAGATGAGTCAGCACCGCTATTAAGTGCCTTAAGTGGCAGCCAAACTGCGATAATCTTGGCACAGCTGTTTCGAAACATTCCGGCCATGCTATGTGGTAAGAGGAACACAGGAATAATGGAGTGACGTTTTCCTCCTGCGTTCTGGGGGCTTTGGCTTCGCGGATGAAAGAATAATGGATAATTGTGTACGGGGGGGGGCGGGCAATCAAAAGAAAATCTTACCACGTTACAGGGAATTTATACTGTTTTGTGCATCATTTTTAAGGTGCTGGCAACTAAAAATTGTTCATTTCTTTTTTAATTTCCTTTTAATAAATACGAATAAATATGAAATATTGCCATTTTATGTAACTTGAAATTAAATGGGGGGGGGGGGGTTGTTATATCTGCAAACAGTCATTTGAAACCAGTCCTCTTTTCCTTTAAGACTTGGTTCACACCTGTGCAGTTTGATTTTGGTCTGTTTCTGCAGTGCTATTTGCGGTGCGCTTTTCGCACGTTTTTGATGTGTTTTGCGTCTGTTATGCTCTATTTTTGCCAAATTTGTTGTTGGGCTAAATAAAAACTGCAAAACACAAAATACGTCAAAAATGCATCAAAAACGCACTCTTTCTGCTTTTCTGCAGTGTGTCCATTAAAGTCTATTGAACCCAAAAACTCATTTGCATTTAAAAAAGTCCCTGAGTCCTTGTTCAAACCAATGTGTTGTGCTTTTGGTCCGTTTTGCAGCACTTTTCGCTGTGCGTTTTCGCATGCGCATTTTTACAGCGTTTTTCCATTTTTTAGCTTTTTTGGTCAAAGTGGAAATTTTTTTGTTGCTGAGCAGAATAAAAATGCAAAATGCGGCAAAAATGCACTACACGCGTTTCAGCAGCTTCTCCATGGAACTATTGTAGCAAAAACTTTGCTTTTTGCTTTTAGGTTTGGTTCATACCTGTGCAGTTTGATTTTGATCCGTTTCTGCAGTGCTTTTTGCGGTGCGTTTTTGCACACACTTTTTGATGTGTTTTGCGTTTTTTTATGGGTTTTTTTACCCAATTTGTTGTTGGGCAGAATAAAAGCTGCAAAACACAAAATGCGTAAAAAATGCATCAAAAAATGCACTCTCTTTCTACTTTTCTGCAGTGTTCATTAAAGTCTATTGAACCCAAAAATGCACCATTTTGCATTTAAAAAAGTCCCTGATTCCTTGTTCAAACCAATGTGTTGTGCTTTTGGTCTGTTTTGCAGCACTTTTTGCTGTGCGTTTTTCGCATGCGCATTTTTATGGCTTTTTTTTTTTTTTTTTTCCATTTTTTTTGTGTTTTTTTTTTATTTCTTTTTTCATTTCTTTTTAATAAATATGAAATATTGCCATTTGCCGTAACTTGAAATTAAATGGGGGGGGGGGGGGGGTTGTTATATCTGCAAACAATCATTTTAAAGTAGTCCTAGTTTCCTTTGAGACTTGGATCACACCTGTGCAGTTTGATTTTCTGGTCCATTTCTGCAATGCTTTTTGCACACGCGTTTTTCACACGTTTTTGATGTGTTTTGCGTTTTTTATGCTTTTTTTTACCCAATTTGTTGTTGGGCAGAATGAACGCTGCAAAACACAAAAAATGCGTCAAAAATGCATCAAAAACGCACTCTCTTCTTTTCTGCAGTGTGTCCATTAAAGTCTATTGAACCAAAAACGCACCGTTTTGCATTTATAAAAGTCCCTGAGGCCTTGTTCAAACCAATGTGTTGTGCTTTTTGTCCGTTTTGCAGCACTTTTCGTTGTGCGTTTTTGCATGCGCATTTTTACCATGTATTGCATTTTTTCAGTTTTTTTTTTTTTTTGGTCAAAGTGGAAAATTTTTTGTTGCTCAGCAGAATAAAAATGCAAACCGCGGCAAAAATGCACTACACGCGTTTCAGCAGCTTCTCCAAGGAACTATTGTAGCAAAAACTTTGCTTTTAGGTTTGGTTCACACCTGTGCAGTTTGATTTTTTGGATAATTGTATACAGGGGGAGCCGGGTAATAAAAAGACAATCTTACCACGTTAGAGGGAATTTATACTGTTTTGTACATAATTTTTAAGGTGCTGGCAACTAAAAATTGTTGATTTCTTTTTTCATTTCTTTTTAATAAATATGAAATATTGCCATTTGCCGTAACTTGAAATTAAATGGGGGGGGGGGGTTGTTATATCTGCAAACAATCATTTTAAAGTAGTCCTAGTTTCCTTTAAGACTTGGATCACACCTGTGCAGTTTGATTTTGGTCCATTTCTGCAATGCTTTTTGCACACGTGTTTTTTCACACGTTTTTGATGTGTTTTTGCGTCTTTTGTGCTTTTTTTTTACCCAATTTGTTGTTGGGCAGAATAAAAAAACTACAAAACACAAAATGCATCAAAAATGCATCAAAAAATCACTCTTTCTGCTTTTCTGCAGTTTGTCCATTAACTTCATTAGCGGTCTGATTATGTCCATATTTCTGTGCTCAAAGTGGTACATTTTTTTGCATGGAAATATGTAGTTTTTTTATTGTAGGCTGTAATTTGTAGGAATAACTCACTGAAATCTGTCCGAACAAGAGTCTAGTAAACATCCCGGGGATGATAAAATTTGAAACACAAAATCATAAATTATAATTTAATAAATAATCATAAAAAAATAATAATATAATAATAATAAATTTAATTCAATAATATAATCAAACCAAAAACACTGAAATTTGAAATATAGCGCCAAGTTCGCACATCGCTGAGCAAAGTCGCAGAATCGTTTTCAGTGTCTGATGACGAATTTCCCCCACGAATCATTATCACTCAATTCTGCAAGTGGTTCTGATTTACTATCGCTGTTCTCTAGCCGGTCTAAAACCGCTTTTGACCTAAAAGGACGCTTTTTGGACGCCATGGACGTTTCTCAGTTTCCAGGCAGAAAGAACAGTAATAATGCAGGCAGGGCGCCGGACAAAGCACTCGGGACAAAATGTATGTGAAATGGTTTGATACAGGAATGTTATACTATGTGATTTTAGTGTATTTAGTGAATGTCACTTTTAACATTTTTAAATTTCCCACCGGTTCCGTCCCCCGTACGTCCCGACGTCGCAGGGAACGGAACCCGGAAGACAGATGCCGGCATCCGCCGGAGGACATTGCCGGGGACACTGCAGGGGGGACATCGCGGGAGCGCAGGACAAGGTAAGTGAAGAAGAGATCCCGGAGCAGCGCTGCAGTGTATTCCCGAGTGTGGCTCGGGGTTACCGTTTGTGATGCTGAAACTTTACCCCGAGCTACACTCGGGAATACCTTCACACCTGTGCAGTTTGATTTTGATCCGTTTCTGCAGTGCTTTTCGCGGTGCGTTCTTGCACACAGGTTTTTCACACGTTTTTGATGTGTTTTGTTATGCCTTTTTTTACCCAATTTGTTGTTGGGCAAAATAAACACTGCAAAACACAAAATGCGTCAAGAATGCGTCAAAAACGCACTCTTTCTGCTTTTCTGCAGTGTGTCCATTAAAGTCTATTGAACCCAAAGATGCACCATTTTGCATTTAGAAATGTCCCTGAGGCCTTGTTCAAACTAATGTATTGTGCTTTTTGTCCGTTTTGCAGCACTTATCGCTGTGCGTTTTTGCATGGGCATTTTTACCGTGTTTTGCATTTTTTCAGGTTTTTGGGGTTTTTTTGGTCAAAGCGGAAATTTTTTTGTTGCTAAGCAAAATAAAAATGCAAAACGCAGCAAAAATGCACTACACGCGTTTCAGCAGCTTCTCCATGGAATTATTGTAGCAAAAACTTTGCATTTTACTTTTAGGTTTGGTTCACACCTGTGCAGTTTGATTTTTGTATTGTGCTTTCCAATGTTGAAATGTGTTTACATGTGCGTTTTTGCTATGTTTTGTGCTTATTGCAGCTTTGTTTTGTTAGCCCTCATGCACACGGGACGTTTTTACAGCGGCTGTTTTTGGCTTTTGATGTTTTTTTCTACAGCCAGTAACCCCCCAGCATGTTATCCTATGTGTCCATCCCCGGCATGTTATCCTATGTGTCCATCCCTGGCGTGTTATCCTATGTGTCCATCCCCGGCGTGTTATCCTATGTGTCCCATCCCCGGCGTGTTATCCTATGTGTCCTCCCCGGCATGTGTTATGTGTCCCTACGTGTCCATTCCTGGCATGTATCCTATCCTGTGTGTCCATCCCCGGCATGTTATCCTATGTGTCCATCCCCGGCATGTTATCCTATGTGTCCATCCCTGGCATGTTATCCTATGTGTCCATCCCCGGCATGTTCTCCTGTGTGTCCATCCCCGGCATGTTATCCTATGTGTCCATCCCCGGCATGTTCTCCCATGTGTCCATCCCCGGCACGTTATCCCATGTGTCCATCCCTGGCATGTTATCCATGTGTCCATCCCTGGCATGTTATCCCATGTGTCCATCCCCGGCATGTTATCCTATGTGTCCATCCCCGGCATGTTATCCATGTGTCCATCCCCGGCATGTTATCCCATGTGTCCATCCCCGGCATGTTATCCTATGTGTCCATCCCCGGCATGTTATCCTATGTGTCCATCCCCGGCATGTTTCTCCTATGTGTCCATCCCCGGCATGTTCTCCTATGTGTCCATCCCCGGCATGTTCTCCTATGTGTCCATCCCCGGCATGTTATCTTATGTGTCCATCCACGGCATGTGTTATCCTATGTGTCCATCCCCGGCGTGTTATCCTATGTGTCCATCCCCGGCGTGTTCTCCTATGTGTCCATCCCCGGCGTGTTCTCCTATGTGTCCATCCCCGGCGTGTTCTCCTATGTGTCCATCCCCGGCGTGTTCTCCTATGTGTCCATCCCCGGCATGTTATCCTATGTGTCCATCCCCGGCATGTTATCCTATGTGTCCATCCCCGGCATGTTATCCTATGTGTCCATCCCCGGCATGTTATCCTATGTGTCCATCCCCGGCATGTTATCCTATGTGTCCATCCCCGGCATGTTATCCTATATCTAGGGAGACCAGATATAGTGAGTGCAGGGTCTGGGGAGACCAGATATAGTGAATGCAGGGTCGGGGAGACCGGATATAGTGAATGCAGTGTCTGGGGAGACCAGATATAGTGAATGCAGGGTCCGGGGAGAGCGGATATATGAATGCAGGGTCCGGGGAGACTGGATATAATGAATGCAGGGTCCGGGGAGACCAGATATAGTGAATGCAGGGTCCGGGGAGACTGGATATAGTGAATGCAGGGTCGGGGAGACCGGATATAGTGAATGCAGGGTTCCGGGGAGAGCAGATATAGTGAATGCAGGGTCGGGGAGAGCGGATATAGTGAATGCAGGGTCCGGGGAGACCAGATATAGTGAATGCAGGGTCCGGGGAGACCAGATATAGTGAATGCAGGGTCCGGGGAGAGCAGATATAGTGAATGCAGGGTCCGGGGAGAGCGGATATAGTGAATGCAGGGTCCGGGGAGAGCAGATATATAGTGAATGCAGGGTCCGGGGAGACCAGATATAGTGAATGCAGGGTCCGGGGAGACCAGATATAGTGAATGCAGGGTCCGGGGAGACCGGATATAGTGAATGCAGGGTCCGGGGAGACCGGATATAGTGAATGCGGGGTCCGGGGAGACCGGATATAGTGAATGCAGGGTCCAGGGTTTAGTAACACTTTAAATAATTTTTTGGGGTTTTGATATGTAATAAACAAGCAGTAGGATTGCCAACGCAGAGACTAGCAATGACGTGTAATGAAAATAGGCTTACATATAAGCAAGGACGGCATAACAAAGACTTTGAAAGCCAGTCAAGGACTATCATGGCAGCAATAATTCACACATATTAGTAGGCTCAAATGGTATAGGGCCAAGAAGGACTTCCCAGCGGCAGTTGGGTGTCCCCGAGTCTGTCAATACCCATGTCATACACGTCACCTTCTAGGTCACAGAAAAAAAGGTTCGTCTGCTCTCCGTCCACCCGCCATGGTGATCCACGGGCCTGCAGATGGGCAAGCGGGGCTGGATAAATGGTGGAAGTGAGCAAGAGGGGGGGGGGGGGTCACCAGTACAAGGGGTTGTGGAAATGATTGTTTCCACAGGAGTCTGCCTGCCGGTTTTAGATGTAAAACCCCTCCCCCGTTGTCATGTCCATACAACATACAGACCTGGCAGCAAAAGGGTTCCGGAGGCAGAAAAGATTCTGCAGGGTGTGTCTATGTGATGCACCATTTCAGACTAATCTCTTTCAAATAACCTATTTTTAATCCATATGCTGCTAACATTCGTAAATAGATAGGAAGGTATATTATATTTACTAGTTTTTAACTTTTTTTTACATTTCTTCAGTTGTATCCTGGTTTCCGGCCTAGGTCAAAATACTGTTGTACATCCCAGGAGTCTTCATTGGCATTCTTTTTCTTTCTTTGGGTACAGGGGCTTTCTCAGCTAAGCACAACCTCGTGCCTGAGCTATGGGTAGGTGGATTCCTGGAAGTAAATGCTACATGAATAACCGGTCCTTACTCAAGATGGCTGTGGCTAGAAATGCTTTGAAAGAGAGGGTTCTTAAAAAAATAAAGTAGGGAGATATGGATGGATGGGGGATTTTGCTTTTTGAATATTAAAAATGGATTAAAAGCATTTTTGGTTTGTGGTGCTCAGATACAATCCACATGGAAGAAAAATATATTTTAAATATATTTTAAAAATATTCTTCCCAAATATATTGACATATATTTTGAAACACTACAATTGTGGCCGTATTCAATATATTTCTATATCTATCTATATCTATATATATATATATATATATATATTTATATTAATACATATATACACTGTGTGTTGAAATGCATTTTTTATATATTCCAAAATATATGAAAAAACATTTTTAAACATATATATTTTTAAAATATATTCTTAAGATTTTTTTTAACATATAGAAAAGTCATTTTAACATATATTTTTACATATATTTGTAAATCCATTCCAAAAATGTAGATTAAATGTAGTTTTAAAGACATACAGTATATTTGAAAACGTATTTTTTAAAATATTTTACATATATTTTGTAATAAAAAAAAAAAGCATTTCAACATACATATATATATATAATATATATATATATTGAATACGGCCAAAATTGTAGTATTTCAAATATATGTCAGTATATTTGGGAAGAATATTTTTAACATATATTTAAAATATATTTTTCTTCCATGCGGGAATTTAGTTCCACTTAAAAAGGAGGGCGATGATGTCATCAGATGTTGAGGGTTTTCTGTAGATAGGGTCAACATTCATAAAAAAAAGGGGTTTTCTAGAGAGCGGAGGGAGGTTTTGGGGTTACAAATCTTGGCCATAGATTGGCATCAGTGATTTTAATGATTGTTTATTAATTAATAGACAAACCCAAAGCAAGTTAAGAGGAAACAGGAAAGTCAGCATGATGGCCAACTCACATAGAGAGAACCTTCACATTCATGATGTCCTGTCTCAGCTCCAGGCACTTCGTAGAATTGAAATCTAAAGGACCTTCATAGAACTCAAAGTACCTGAAAGACAGCGAGAGTTTATAGTTACTCGATGGATTATAGTGGTTATATGAAAGAAAAAAAAAAAGTGAAAATTTTTTTTTTTTAAGCAGAGCTGAATAATAATAATAATAATATAATAACAACATTACTAATAATAATAATAATTCTTATTATTCGTATTATAACAATAATAATATAATAACAACAACATTATTATTATTAATAATAATAATATAACAACAATAATAATAATATTAATAGTAATAATAATAATATAACAACAATAATAATATTAATAGTAATAATAATAATAATAATATAACAATAATAATAAAATAATAGTAATAATAATAATAGTATATATTTTTAAAAGCAAAGTACTAGAATTTGACTTGGTATCCGAATCTTGCAATCCAGGTAATGTAAATACCTGAATTTGACTTGATATCAGCCTTTTGCAATCCACTGTAACCCCAGGTTCACACCTAAGCGTTTTCAGCCGCGTTTTGCAGAAACGCACTACAGTCCATTAAACATGGTTTCCTATGGGACCCGTTCACATCTCCACGTTTTCATCTGGTGTGTTTTTTGGAAAGGTTCAGCCCCGGGTTCACACTGATGCAGTGTGGCACATCGCATGCCTGTGCTAATCACATGCGATCTCTCTGCGGTGCGATTTGAGCAGTATATTTTGTATGGCTCAAACTGCACCACATCGGCAACAAAAAAGTGCAGGACCCTTTTTTAGTCCGCACTAGAATCGGATTGCATGGGTGTTTGTGTTTTCGGGGTGTCATTAACTTACAATACACGCCTGCAGTGCTTTGTATGAATGGGATTCGATCATAATTCGGTGCGGCAATCGCACAGAAACCGGTTCAAATTCACACCGCATCAGTGTGACCCAGGCTCCAGGACTTTTTTTAATGCAAAAAGTTGCACTTCAATGGAAAAAACGCATATTTTGGAAAAAATGAGTTGCGTTTTTGCACTTGCGTTTTGCGCAAACAAAAAAAAAACACATCAAAATGCAAAACGCAACACAAAACGCAAACCGCACACAAAAACGGAGAAACGGATCAAACGCAAACCTGCATAGGCGTGAACTAAGCCTCAAAGGGTCCTAACACCTGGTGTCACTACCTGCTGTACCAGACACTATTTTGCTATTGAGCCACCTAGTGGCAAAGTAGCTAACTACACCTGCCTACAGGCTGTAATAATCGATACTAGGACCATGGCTGCAGCTGCACCACTTGTTCCCGAGGATGTATGGGTATGTCCTAGGGGCGAGAAGTGGTAAAAGAAATATATTTAATCATTAGTTCGTTCATTTGTGTCTTCTATATCTGCTTGAAGGATTTTGAATTGTTTTAGCAGACAGCCCAAATGCCAACAGCCACTAGATCAGCAAACTAATGAAGATCTCCTGCGCTACTATTACGTGATAAATTAGGTGAGTGGGAGCTGCTAGCACCTAACCATATACCACGTGGGAAATAAAAACTAACAAAACCAAAATGATGCAGCGCTACCCTAATAATAAAATAATACAATATGGCAACAAACAAAGTGACAATCGCAATATATATGTGAAATATAGTGGATATGATCCTCTCTGATCTCAATATAAAGTGACATAAAAAATATAAAAAAAATCAGTGGATTGATCCTCTCTGGGATCTCAATATAAAGTGACATAAAATATATATACGTGCCAAAATCATGGATTGATCCTCTCTGGGGTATCTCAATATAAAGTGACATAAATATATCGTGCCAATAATCAGTGGATTGATCCTCTCTGGGATCTCAATATAAAGTGACATCCTCTCTAAATATATAAATACGTGCCAATGCCAAAATCAGTGGATTGATCCTGTCTGGGATCTCAATATAATAAAAAGTGACGTGCCAAAAATCAGTGGATATGGGATCTCAATATAAAGTGACAATAAATTAATACGTGCCAATAAATCAGTGGATTGATCCTCTCTGGGATCTCAAATATAAAGTGTAAATATATATATGACAAAATCAGTGGATTGATCCCTCTCTGTGGATCTCAATATAAAGTATATATATACGTGCCAATAAATCAGTGATTGATCCTCTCTGGGATCTCAATATAAAGTGACATAATATATATATACGTGCCAATAAATCAGTGGATTGATCCTCTCTGGGATCTCAAGAAAAAAGTGATCACCACTCTGATGCCAATAAATTGGATTGATCCTCTCTGGGATTCTCAATAAAAAGTGATGTAAAATATATATACGTGCCAATGACAAAAAAACCAGTGGATTGATCCCTCACTAACGCGAGGGTAAAATATATCCTGGGTCTTTTCAAAAATACGGACAATAAATCAGTGGATTGATCCTCTCTGGGATCACATATAAAGTGACAAAATATATATATACGTGCCAATAAATCAGTGGGATTGATCCTCTAGGGATCAAGTGAAAAGTGATGCTGGTAAAAAAATGATGGAACCAAAAATGAGAAGTGAATACACCCTAACAGGGATCAACAATATAAGCGTGAAATCCCTAAATAGGGATCAATAAATTCGTGCACAAATGGAGAAAATGGCTAAATTAATCAACAATATCATGCAAAGTGACAAATAGTAATCCAAAAAAATGGATCCCTAAATGTGGTATTCAAGGCATCTTGAAAAAGTCACGTGATGGCGTGACGTAACATGTAGGACGCGAGCGTGGTGACGTACTTCCGGCGCGGATGCCATCTTGCTGCACCCAATGAGTTCCCATGCAAGTACACCTTTAGCATGAGGTCTTTTGAAAAGCTTTTCACCATCATTTGCATTAATTTATTGATCCCTATTTAGGGATTCACGCTTATTTGTGTTTTATTTTATTTTGTGTATGATCCTATTTTGGATAGTGGGGGTATTGGTTCCTGTTTTTTTTTATACCAGGTGTGATCACTTTTTCACTTGAGATCCCAGAGAGGATCAATCCACTGATTTATT